TGGCGGGTGCCAAGATCTGCCCACCCCTCCGGTTTGCCATACATCGTCACGAGGCTCGGCGGTGCGTGTTCAACCAGACATCATGTTCGTTGATTGTTCTGGTACAGCGATGGTAAACTCCGGCTAAATGACGACCACAGCAGTACTGCCGTAGACGACAGACACATGCATAGGGAGTTGCGATGGGACATGCAATGATTCGTACCACGCCCCATCACTTCTGGTGTGCGTATGTGCTACAACAGTCCTTTTGCGAAGAGCGTCATCGCCAGATTTTTGTCCGTCTCTGCACCTTGCCGTCATCACGCCACCCTCATTTTTTTCCATGTAGTCTACTCCGGGGTATAGTGAACAGGGGCATTCATCGACAGACGTCATCTGCCGTGATATGCTACAGGCACCATCACAAAAAAGAGTGCACGACAACGTATCACATGCCCGGGTGGTCAGTGGGTAACGTCGTAATACCTACCACAGCAGCAGTAGCTAGTACCCAGGTGCAGTGGGTTCGAATCTCTCGGGAGTCAACAAGTGCAGTACTACATGTAGGAGTAGTCTACACCGCGGCAAGTAAATACTCCTGCTTCAGTTCAAAATTCGTGAGTATCCGCACACACCGGCCGGTCGCAAGTAGTCGCAAGGAGCCCGTTGATGTACATGTACTGCTGTATGAAAGAATTCGTGTTCAGTGCGCGATTTATATTCCAGTTGTAGAGCAGTGGGAAGCGTTAAAAGATATAGTAGCTGTCGCTAAAACGAGCGACAGCTGATAGATGTAACTGTCGTCAGACGTGTGCGTCCGCGGGAGGTGGAAGAGACCCTTTCTTCTTCTTTTTCTCTTTGCAATTCACGTCATTGGTTACCCGCGACGGCGCTGAAGACGCCCATGTCCGTGTACTTGACCCTCGTACTCTGTGCTAACTCCCCAAGTCTAACCTCTTCCTGCAGCCTAGCCTTCATCGTCGGCGAATTTCCAAGGTTACCAATCCTGTCGAAACTCATGGGCTCTACCATGAGGTCCACAAGTCTCTTCGCCCTACTGAGACAGACGAAAGTAAGCCCCGTGCAGGCCTCCTTGGGCCCCAAGTCAATGACGGCCTTGGCTAAAGTCTGCCCCTGGGACTTGTGCATCGTAATTGCCCAGCAGAGCCTAAGGGGCAGCTGCGTCCTGACCTGCGTCCCCCCGTCCTGCCAGGTGGTGTCGACGGGAGAAATAGGGACACAACGTCTATACCTCTCCTGAGACGACCATTCCCCCCCCGAGTACCCTTCAAACTTGACGACAACGTAAAGGGGGAG